ATGGAAATTCCATGCATGGAATGGGATGAACTGTGTCCAAGTGAGTTCTATCTTCTAGATATGAACAAAGGTTTGTTCTCAATAGAATACAGTCTATAAAGAGAATTTGTTCTCTACGAGACTAAGGTTGAGAATAAACTCAATAAAAGTAATGTATATTAGAGAAGTGGTACAAGTGGTGAGTGAGGCACCAATAGGTGACTTCTTTACACAACATAGAATTATCTATGAAGTGTCTACCATAGTTACCTCTATCCAATAGAAATATGAACGTGAAAAATACACATTAATTTTGAAGAAAATTGTGAAAACGATATTTTCAGTTCAATATCACCCAAATGTGTGGGATAGTTTCTTGTTAAGTGATTATCTTATTAAGGTGTCATGAAAGAAATTGTGACCACCCTATAAACACTTGCGACTATGGGGTTCTTATATGAGCAATGCAATCAAACACTTGTGAGTGTCAAAGTATCTGGTGGAGATACTTGCATTAAAGAAAATAAAGATGAATCCTAATTGGTGGATAAAATTCTCACAGGCCATGAGTATATGACGGTACCATGTAGGGGTTCTTTGTGTATATTTTGAACTTGTCAAAATTACAAAAGAACACTATAGTGTGATAAAAAGAATATGTAATTCTTTTGGAAAGGAAATAATTCAAGTTGAAGAACCAAGATGTGGCTAGGAACCAAATGAAAATCATTTAGGAATGATTTGAATCACATTTGTTGGGAATGATTTACGAACATATTAGTTCTTGTGATGGATCTTTATGGAGAAACCATAAAGAGTGTCGATTCTATTTTTGATAATCACACTTAAAAATAAGTTAATGTCACATAAGGAATCAAAGTAAATAAACAATGAGTTTGTTTAGATTACTTGATATGTATTCTCTCGTGTTGAGATCAAGATCAAATGATGTTTCCTTCAATGGAAAATTAGATACGGAGCAACCCGAGGGTTTCAAGCTCTAAATACCGATAGTAAGATCGGTAAACTCTTTTATGGTCTTGGAACAATTCCAAAGATCATTGATAAGAGTTAAAGAGTATGTCAAAATATGTCTACGTCAATGGGACATGGAAAGACTAAGGCATTTGATGCCTATTTGAAAGACATACTGAATTGTCGGTAGTAAGTCTATTAACATGTTAAGTCTGTGTTTAGCATGTGGAACTTACCGGTGTGATTTTACTGGTTAAAATCACGTGGATGTAATGGTCTTATTTTGAGTCAAGCTCATCATAGACAAAATTCTTGCGGAGTTTGAGCAAAAATAATTGTAGAGTCGCTAGAACCACATTAGATGATATTCTTCAGTTATCCTAGTTATGTGGGAAGTACTACTTTGGTAGAATACTCAAAGATGATCGAGAGAATAGTGCTTCTAATAAGTTTTGCTACAATAAACGCTGAAGTAAGCTAGTAAAGTAATATGAGTAATTAAGCATTGGGTTGGGCTGTTAATATGGACAGTCAATGTTAGAGTACTAAAGTACTTACGATATACTCGTAGTGTTGAGTTACATCATACTAGATATCCAACCGTGCTAGAACGATACACTGATACAAATTGGATATATAGTATCAATGACTCAAACAACACTAGTGGCTATGGTTATACTAGCCTGAACATGCGTGTTTTGGAAATCCCCAAACTAGATTGTGATAGCCGGTTTCACAATGGAATCTGAAATGTATATATCGGATAGTTGCGAGACAGAGGCTAAATGGTATTGCTAGTTTTGAATGGGGATATGTGCCCTTGATCTATTAATTATAGATGTGGATGACACGTAGTCAGTTGTATAATGGTAGTCAAAGACATTACTTTGTCACTGATATAGTATCATTATATAGTTGTTCTCAACTGTAGATATCTTGCTTGACTGTATGAAGTCAAAAGATAATGTCGCGGATTTGCTAACCTGTGTGTTAAACAGACGATAGTTGAGAAAATGACAAAAGGAATGAGATAGCCTGTAAAGTGTAAAAGTCTTAAGAAGGAAAACCCAACCTAGTTGACTGGAGATCCCAAGATCTAGGTTCAAAGGGACAACCTAATCATAAGACTTGATGTGGTCACTGTGAGGGTAACCTCAACTCATTTCTGTCATCAAACAGTGACATGACGGAAAAGGATAGCAAACAGTTGTTTTGATGACACTTAAGTGAGAAATATCATTTACTCTAGACTTAAGAAGTTACCTATGTAAGAGAGAAGTGGGGCCGCTTCAAAGGAGAACTGTTAAGGCTAAGTTCTTTAGAAACTCCCGCAGAATCAGGACGTGTTCATGGCCAAAATAAACAAAATCATGAGAACGGAACTAAAAAGAAAGGGATCCTGTGTACTGTATGTGGGTTTCTTTACACAATACAAAAGGACAGTTCAAGGATATCGTGTCTACTGGACAGCTAGTAAAGCAAGCATACTTTTCAAGGAGGAAATTCATAGGGTAACACCTACTTTCTCTTTGCAGGAATCAGTTGGTGAACACCATCTCCATCGAGTCAAACCAATGTCTCATTCATGTGGGGGATTGTTGGAAATGAACTATTAATTTGAATGAGAATTGTTTTCTCATAGATTGGAAAAGTTGAGTTTATGCTATCGGAGTTAGCTTAACTCATGTATGTGCCTAACTTGCGGGCACAAATGTCGGACCGAACTCTCGTGGATCTAATCAACCCACGTTTGCTCTGTCTCAGATTAATTTTCCAGTCAAATAATAGAGAGACTTTTGCTGCTTGAATTAATTCCAAAAGGTTTTTATTTAATCCGAATTTGACCGGATTGATTACCAATGGTTATTAGGGAGTTAATGAATATAATATTTTATTAAGCACGGGAATTAATTTGCTTCAATAAAACTAACCGTTTCATCTTTGAACTTGTGGGATTAATTCATTTAATAGAGCAAAATAAATTCACTCAATTGCTTGAATTGTTATAAATGTTTAAAATTTGACTCACAATTATTTTGCTACAATTAAAGTGAATTAATAAGAGAAAACCGTTGGATTTTTTGGCTGAATTCAAAGGGTCTTTTCATGATATAAATAGTGGCTCATTCTAAACACCCCAATTTTCTTCATAAGTTTTGCTTTAACCTTTCCTTCCTCTTCCTTGGTGTTTATCAAATATTTTCTAAGTTCCAGTTCGCCGGTGGAACTACTTAGTGCTAAGCAGTTTTCACGTTTCTCCGTTATATTCTAGGAAACAATTGCCCACGATCTCTGGTATCTTAGGAGGAGGCAAATATGTTTTAAGGAAATCGTGTTTTCACGAGCCTCGGATTTTTCTACTTCTTAAAGAAGTCATTGTTCATCACAAATATAGCATTTAGTTTTTCTAACACCACCTTCGATTGAATAGATGGTGTAAAGTGTAAACATCCAACTTGCTGATCAGGTTGACTTAAAAAAATTAGGAATTGTTTGTCCAACACTTATTTTGTATTTTTGTCTCATTTTACCTCTTAAAGCACATCTCAAACACAAATCCCAATACTATCCAAACAAGTTTTTAATTTACCTTTTACAAAATATTTCAAAAATTATTTTTACACAATTTTCATCCACTACCACCGGACCACCTCCACCACCACCCGCCACCACCAGACCGCCCGCTGCCGCCGCTGAACCACCGATGGCCGGTGACCGGCGGCAGTCCAACAACAGTCCGGTGGCCGCGGCGGCGACAGTGGTGGTTTAAAAATATTATTAGTTTATTTAAAATATCATCCAAACAACTTTTTAAATTTTATCTCAAATGACATTTTAAATCACATCTCAAACCCAAATCAAAAATCAAAACAAGAACTAAAACAAAATGTTGGCCAAACTACTTGATAGGACCGCAACAAGAGCAAAAGTGTATGTTCAAATTATAAAAAAAAGAGAGAAAATTTTCATTACTTTATCCTGAAAAGAAAGATAAAAGTTATTAAAATTTAAAGAAAAAAGAAACTGAAAAGACAAAATTGTCTTTTGAGCAAGTCAACTACTGAAAAGTTGACTTTTACTCATTTAACGAATTCTTGACGGAAAATTAACAAAAAACGAAATTGATCTTTCTGTGGCAATTTAAAGACATTTCAACTTTTTAGTTTTGAATAAATATAGTTGACGATTTTTTGGGACTTATATAGTAATTAATTCACTATCCATAATTAAGAACTTTTCTTGTTTTCTGCCGCTTCACCATTGGAAATATTGGCTCACATTTGTTCTGATGCTCAAAAGCGGTAATAATTTGTTAAATAGAATGAGAGTCAGGAAACAAAATATCATTTTTTAAATTGTGATTCGGTAATTGGTTTTACGTCTTAAAACCAATCATTAATACTTGGATTTGAATAAATATTTGTAACGGATGTGGTCACGCAGCATGACAAGAATTTTAAGATAATTATTAAATTCTTCAAGGATAATTTATGTGATAAAGTAATCTCAAATACTTAATAATTACAATAATGAGTTATATTGGGTAAAGATCCAACCCATTTAAGGCTAGATTTCAACCCTAATTTGTATTATTGTAAACAAAATATAAGAGCATTAGCCGTCATGCATCCCTGAACTTTGTGAGCCTCTATTCAAAATTCACCATGTTTTGATTGTGTTCGTGCATCTGGTATCAAGGTAGAAGAAAAAACTCCTTCTGACTACTATAGTATTATTCACATATTGTAAACCAATGGTTGACGTCAACAAATCAATTGAATTAGATATTGATTTACATACATCCATGACTAGTCAAAACTCAAAATTTCAGATTTCAGCATTCCCAGAAATTGTTGGTTCAAATTGAAAGGTATGTCCAAACCCAAGGATCTAAGTGCAACTTTACAAATCTTGATGAACACACTTTTGAGCTATCTGCTTGCCTCCTAAATGTAACGGTTGGTTTTGTCTTTTGTTCTTTTTTTTTTTTTTAACTACCAAAACTCACCCAAAAATACTTCCCCATTTTTCCCAATTCTTCACTTCAAACACCGCTATTCCAATCAAACCCTCTCTCATCATCAGTTCATGTAAGGCTCAACTTTAGCATAGTCACACATAACGCCTGAGGATACCATTTTGTAGTTTTTTTGTATAGATGGTCTTGCTGTGCATGCATGTGAAATTCTCCAAATTTTATGCATTTTGATTTTAATTTTGTTGGAAACAATCTGTTTCTCAATTTTTAAGAAAAATTGCGGTTCTATGATGTTTGTTATGTGTTCCGAATGTTTTTTCACCCACCCTTCTTTTTTGTTTTCGTTTTTCTTTTTTCCTTATTGTGAATTGATTGTATCTTAACTATTTACCTTTTGGAATTTGGAAATTTACCAGATTTTTTTTTCCCAACAGTGTCCTAATCTAGATTTGGTCATGTGAATCAATCTCAATAATTGGTTTGTGAGAATTTTAGTTTAAATTGGTATAAGATTCAATTTGAACTAGTTTTTGCTTCTTTGGTTTGTTTTAATTTTCATTCAAAACCTAAGAGCACAGAACTCTGAAGTTATTCAAGTATTTGGTGTAGTTATTCACTTAATGTAAAATCATAAACTTCCCTCTTAAAATTGTTGTTTAATCATTAATTTCATGAAAAAAGTGGGGGTTGTTGTTCTGTTTCACTTTTGAGCATGAAAACCCAAGATACGTATACTAAAATTACTTTATGCCTTGGATCTCTTCATCAAAGTCTAGGAAACTGTATCCTTTCATGTCTAAATCATCTGTACAGGAAGAACCACGGAAGCTATTATGAGCATAAAGTAGATGGCTTAGATATTTGTTTGATTTTACCTTTGCTTGGTTGCTCGCGGAGATATAACCTAGCTACATAGTGTGACTCACTAATGCTGATATTAAAGTTAATGCCTGGTGTCATCAGTTTGCATGTATGAATAAACTGGTATTTTTTCAGTAGCATATTAGTCATGTTTTAGCCTCATGTAACATCACTCCTATCTTCAACTTGTTGCTTGCCATTTACAACTTGAATCTGATTTGTGTACCTGGGAGTTCTATGTTACTGGCTTTTGGTTTTGGAGCGGCAAATCGTTGTCCATGAATTGAAATTGCAGTGGCATTGTCTCAACTCATATACATTCCTTGTCTATGTATAATGTATCATCGAAAATCCTGAAAATCTGAAAAGCAGAAATTAGTGGAATCCGATAAATGCTCTAATTGGTGTATTGTATTGGTCGTCTTAAATGCAAGCTTGGGGGGAATGAAGACATTTTCCAGACATACTGAGTTTGGAGTAGATACTTTTTGCGAGACATTTTCCACAGATTTTTTTATGATGATTATTATTTCACATCTTAGAGATTTGGCTAGTTTTAGGTTTGGAACTTCTGTTGAGGCTTAATTAGGGTAGAAAATCGACAAATCCTATAAAGTAATCCTTTGTCAGCCTATTTTCTCTGGATTGTTAAATGTATTTTGGTAATCTTCTAGGGAAGCACATACTTCATGATGTGTGTCCATTCATGGTTGAAAACTGACCATTTATGTCGAATGTCTCTGTTGCAAAGGGTTTGCACAGCTACACTCGTAAAACTCTAAGGTTACTGAATCTGGCCTTGTTCAATTAATCAACCTCTTAATTTTTTACTAGCGGAATACCTAAAGAGCAACAGAAAAAGGCACACGTTTCTTGGAAGGATTTTCTTAACAAGCCGCCAACTATACAATTAAGTACTTTGTGTTATTGAACTAGCAATACTACTGTAAGATGTCATTGCACTAGTAGTTCTTATCATAAGTGCAGATGGACAAGTAAATCTAGAGAGTTTTGACGTGTTGTTAGTTGTTCGACATTCATGGCCAGACAGCTGATAAAGATGGATCAATCATGAATCTCAATCATGAGTGGTTTCTTTCCACTTCAACAATGAATTCCATTAGTAAGCATAGAAAACCTCATCCATTCATTGTATTCTAATTGAATGAAATCACGACTTTGATAGAAAAATGAGTTTTCTTTTGAAGGGAGCGAGATTTTCCTACTGAATTCAAGTAATGTTGATCTTTCTAACCCTCTGGTACCATAAATTTTCTTGACAAGACTTCTGCAATAATTTTCCTGATCCTGGAAGGTTTGCCATGTTCTCTTCCAAGTATTGATGACATCTCCATGGGGGTGGTTATCTTCAGTTAAAATAAATGAAGAAATATAGTGGCACTAGAATTGAAATTGGCAGCTCACATCCTGTTGGAGAATGACTAATTTTAACCATTTTAACTGGAATCTATTTTGATTTCTACTGAACATCATAGATGTAGATATACAATGACATATTTTATTTTGAAATAAATTTGTGTGAAACATATTTTAAAATAAGTAATCTGACAAGGGAAAGTACTTATTTTTCACTCCTGTTTTCTTGGACTTTATTGGTGGCAGATTGAGCCAGTGGATCTTCATAGCAAGAAGATTTAAAATGAATCAAGCCAAAAGGGTCAGAGAGTCATCGATGAAATCTTTTACTTTAAATGGTATGGCGAATTCCTGTCTTGGAACTTGATTCTTCAGTTTTTGTTAGGGTTTAAGTTTGCTTAGTAACGTGGTATGACAACATGCAGATGACGGATATGAGCTGCCTGATGACATTGACCTAGCGTCAATGGATGAGGATACAACCTTGGCGCATTTTAGATGCCCAATGTGTGGCGAGTTACTGGTGGATGCTACTAGGGTAACTCCATGCCGGGATCTATGTGAGCTATCTTCCCTTGTTTTCTCAATTGAACTTTTCTTCGCCTTTAAATGGAATTGAATTCTAGCAGCTTCTACATATGTCTAAATATGAAGTCCCAGAAATTGATGCAGATAAGTTATAAGAAATTTTGTCTCTTTTCTATATGGAGATACCTTCAAGTGTGGCAATGCCTTCAATCAGTGGAATTTGTTGAAATTTTTCAGACATGAAATGGAAGAACATTTGGTTACCAAACCTTCCAAAAACAGATTCCAACATCTCTCATTAAGCACTTCAATATAATTTTGCCATTCGGCCCCAACCTTGAATAGGTTCCATTTCAAAACATAACACTGCCTAATGAATGCAGCAGATTTTCTGTACTGAGCTTAATAATCTTTTGGTTCCTCATGGTTTAGAAAAAAATTTATGTATTTCTTCTCCTTCATGTCATAATTTAATGATTGTAACTGACATGTACACTTCCCACAAAAAGAGCAAGTCTTTTGCTGATCTATGGAGTAAATGAAATTCACACATTACCATCTTGTCCTATACAGCATGCATTTTTTTAGTCAGGTTTACTGATTTATTACCAATGTTGGTTTGCAATCTCGCATTCCTCTTGCAAAGTTGTATTTGATCTCATCATAGTTAGACCATCTTAAATCTGCCACCAAATTAGCAACGTTGTTTCACCAAAGCTCCCAAATGTTCTCCAGTATATTTGACTGCTAAAACTACTTCACTTCCTAAATATTCCCAGTCCTTCTAACAAATTGACACATCTTAGTGGTACACAACTGCTTCTTCATGAACACCATATTCTCCAGGCCATATGTACTACAGTTACTCAAGCAATGAATTTCCAGAAACTTCCTAATTGTTTGCAGAAAGCAGTTTTTTCTACTTCACCATCTGTGTAGCCGTTTTTGTTTATTTTATCCCTTGAGAAAATTCTCTGAATTATAAAAGACATAATCGACAGAATGTGCATAGACTAAAGAGAGTGTAGTTTAATGAACGTTGTTCTCCCATCGCTTTTCTAATTTTCCCAAGTTGCTTGATAATTGCTAACACATCTACAATAATGGAAATTTAATAGAAGCACACTAGAGAGAATTATTGCATTTGGAGCATCCTTTATGTACTGTCATTCTTCAGACCAGTCAGTCAATTCATTGAAACTAGCTTGCAGAATTGCATAAAATTAGCATGTACCTGCTAGGCAGGAAGTTCTGAGTGTTGAATATATGGCACCCTTTCCTTTTTGTTTGTCTTAATGATCTCAACATTCCAGTTTGCACAGACTGCATTCGGAGTTTTCTATTTGAACTTGGAAATAATGCGTGCCCAGGCTGTATGGTTGATTTAGGACTCGACCCTGAGGAATTCCTGAGGTAAGATTTGGGTAACAATGTGGTTCTTCTGATGGCAATAAGTGTTTATATATGTTTCATTACCAATTATAATGCTAAGTAGTATTAGCAAGGACTTTTATAATTTCGTGAGACTTCATCTAGGCTTATTCTGATTGAATGTTATGCATAGGAATGCTCATTAAATGGTCTTAAACAGAAGAGTTATCTGAGTTTAACAGAAAACGGCTACATAGTGTTTCACAGAAAAGGCTAATTGGACCAACCCCCTATCCACCACCCCCTCCCTAAAACAAAGCCTCAATCTGTGTATGACACATTCCACGTGGCTCCGAGGTTTTGAAGTAAATTTTGTAACAATTTTCTCCATTCTATATTCTTTGAAAGAATGCTTTGTCCATAAATTCTCTTGATACATTAAACGCATGGGGAGCATATTTGGAAAGATTATTGATATTGAACACGTCAACATCGATTCTTGATTTGTGAATTGACTTTTGCACAAAAGGAAAACAGAGAAAGCAAAACTTTTTTCTAGTAATTTAAAGAAGCGAGTTAACTAATGCAAAAAGTATGATAGTGAAAAAGAAATAAGTTTTGAATTCATTTCTAGATACTGACAGCGTGTAAAATTCAATGTGCTTCATCCCAGAATTTTTTTACTGTTGATTTTGTGCATGGACCTTGAAGTCTAGCGAGTAACATAATTTGATGATTGTTATCAAGTGATTAAGCCTCCACCAGTTCTAGAGTTTTGCATTGTTTCTGACTGATTTTGATCTGGACTGCAGTTTATTTGTTCTAGAATCATTTAGTAAGCAGCTAACTGACGTTGCAGCATTTTATTTTTTATCTGGATTTTATTTCTGTTTGAGGATCAGTAGTAAGCAGCAGACTGATTTTGATTTGTATTCCAGTTTATTTGATCTAGGATCAGTAATAAGCAGGGAACTGCATCGCAGAATTTTATTCTTTTCTTTTTTTAAGTTTTCAACAACAAAATCGAATTCTGAAGTCTTACGAATAATTAGTCCGTGTGCAGCTGTTTTCTTTCTACCCTTCGAATTTGGAAACAGTATCACTTTCCAATTTTGTACCAGTGGTAGGACGGGAGAACTCATTGCTTTTGTTGACCTGAACAGTTTTGAGGAACAGCTCAGTGTTTTTGTTGAGGCCTTAGCGGAATATTTTAGAGGCAGAAGGGAGAGGGATGCCTTGATTGCCAAAACCAGAGAGAAAAGTGAGAAAAGATACCGTACAGTTCTTACAAAGCCAAGTTCAGGAATCTTGACGAAAAAGGTAAATCTCTTGATTTATATAGCATGGGGCAGAATTCGAGGTTAAATACATTGAACATCGATAAAGACATGCACTTTCAAGAAGCGGTGCAAAATTCACCTCATTGATCCTTTTACAGTTTTATATTTAAGTTTCTCTGTATTTCCTTTTCAGCGTTTTATGACTCAGGCAAAGGCAGTAGGAGCCAGTTATGCAGCTGCGGTAGCCAGCCCTGTAGATGACAGCGAATCAGACAGGATGAAGGTTGATGAGGAGGCCTCATCTTGTAAAAGCAAAGAACTCTAGAATTCTGTATTTTATGAGATACACCATCTGTATGTGTTGTACTCCACTCTTCTCTTTTTTTTTCTTTTTTTTTTTTCCTTCTTGTTTTCCGGCCTTTGGTAGTTCAAAATGTTGTGACATTTTCTTGGTATATGTTGTAACTTTGTACATCCTGAACAGAAAACCTAGCAACTTCTGGCTAGTCAAAATTTGTTGTTACTGTTGCCCATCAAGCGCTCCTAGTTACATTACAATTTTACTAGCATTGAAGGCCACTATTATGGGCAGAAGAGTATATCAGTTATTGATCCGCAGTAAGAGTTTTTCTTTAACTAGCTGTCCATTCCCAAACAAGTTGACTTTTGTGGTTCTTAGCTGCAAATTCTGTTCCTACGAGTTTTCAAGGCATTTGCCGATTCCCTAAAGAGGTTTTCTGCTTCATTTCCTAATTTGAAGCTACAGTCTGCTCATACCAGAAGCAACCTTCCACAATGTTTGCATTTTGAGACAGACACGATGTTACCGTACGGTCCGTATCATTCGAGTAACTGAAGGTGAAATCATGAATAGCTACTTGTAACATGAATTTAAATAAACTTGCAATAAGATGGCAGTGACAACAGAATGATCATGAACTACTTCAGGCATTATGACATGAATATATGGTAAAACATCTGCATCATCATGTTCAACTCAAACAGGATTTTGCAATTTCCAACCACAAATTTTCATCCAGAGTGACAACCAAAAAGAACTCTTACTTACAATCCCACTGCAGCAATGACCACATACGTGCGAATGGCCTCTTTGTAATGTGTCACTGACAGTCCATCTGTCAAACAAATGGAATCAATAAATCAGTAGATCAGAAGCTGACTCGGCTTCGTGCCTCATAAAAACTGGGAAAATAAAAAGCAGCAACAAAGAGTTAAGCGTTTCTTCTACTATGTGGAGTCGGGTTACATGTATCACATCTACATAAGTTTTCTATAATGAAAGGACTTCTAGTCTAATACTATGACTAGATGACAACCTGGATGTCGACCCAACAAAATGTTCTCCTGCATCCAAACTTTGATTGCCTTGCTAGAAACAACATGGATCAGTGTCAGTTTTTACACATAAATTACTAAGTTTATTCCATATTATGAGAAGTACAGTATCAGTTTTTGTTTGTCTAAAAATTAGACCTCATCTTTGGGAAAGCAACAGTTTGACTTGTCAAACTCACCTGGCACTGAAACATAGATGATAGATGATTGCCACGGGAAAAAAGGTCTATCCATAAGATGATAACTTGTCATCAATAAGCAGCAAACAACTTTGTTGAATTTGAATGCAAAAACAAATTACAGATTGATAATGTCGATCGTAGGATGCTTGGTGAGGAGCATATTATATGGTGAACCACCATACCTGGTACACTTGTCTAATTAATAGAATTTAATTATGGAATGAACAAATTAATAAAAATATTATTAAATTGATTCATTCTCTCTTATCATTTAGTTTCTCATATCATATTTTCTTTCAAATACAAAAAAAAAAAACAACTGTTATAAAATAAGAACACTGATCCACAGGAAGCAGCAGCAACCGTTGATTCATCCACGTCAGGATCATCTTCCAGTTGTGGTCCTGCATGGTCACATGCACATGCAGTACTTGACCATGAAGTTTCTCAAGACCATGTGAGCAGTGGCCTGAAACAACCTCCCTTTGATGCTTCCCTCAGCAATCGGCCTTGGCATCGGGGAAGGTTCTGGATGACAATTCCACGTCACTAATCCGGATCATCATCATCATTTCTTAGCCATTAGATTAAGGCGGTTAATACATTGTTAATTATTAGCCTTAGGATTAGTGTGTATTTCTTGATAGAGAGGGAACTAGTTAGCTGATCAGCTGTAGATATTTTGTATATAAATAGATGATAGAATGAATTGTACGGTTAACAAGAATTCATCACCTTAATACACAGTCGAAATTCATCATCTTCTTCCAATTGAATATTCATCTGAAAGCCTAACTCTTCATCTATTTTTGCTTATTTTGTATTCAATTTTGTGCTTCAAATCTTGCTATGATGATCTCATATCCTGATTTGTATAATGGTATCAGAGTGGCTAGATCATGCTCTGTATTTAGCTGCTAAATCTTTGCTGTTTCTTGATCTTATTAGATCAAATTTCTATTTCCTGCTATATTCTACACTCTATTGATTTCTGCTTTTGAAAATTATGGAGAATCCAGTAAATCGATGAAGGAATGCTGATGAACAGAGAGATCTAGATTATTTGATTGATATACAACTGCAAGTACATGGATCGGAGAATCCAGGAACACATCTTGTTTCAATTCTGCTCAATGAAAAAAATTACAGGATTTGGAAGGGAGCAACGTTGTCAGCTTTGGAAGCATAGATGAAGGACAGATTCGTGACTGGTCGTCTTGCAAAGCCACCAGAGGCTTCAGCACAATTTGTTCGATGGAAGCAAGCTAACAACCTGGTATGCTCATGGATTAAGAGTTCTATATTACCAGAAATGGTAAACACCTTTATTTTCATATATGATGCTCATACTTTATGGAAGGATATTGCTGAACAATATGGAACAACCAGTTTGCCTCAATTCCTTTAGATTAAGCAAGAAATTGCATTAATTAAGCAAGGTGATTTATCTGTTGCATCATATTATGGACGTTTGAAACAATTATGGGATTAGTATGCTCAGCTTAGGTCCAGTCCAATAGTTGTGAATGAGATCAGACAGTTAATGTTACGCAGAGAAGCTGAGGATAAAAATATAGAGTTTTTGATGGGATTGAATGAGATATATGAGCAGGACAGGAGTAACATCTTGTTTATGGATCCAATGCCTTCTGTGAATCGAATTTACAATATCATATTGATTTCTGAAAAACATAGACAGCTTAGTACAAACATGGACTTACTAGGAGAAAACTCAGCAATGAATGTGAAGGCTGCTGATGTAATGAAACCGATTGATCATCCTAATGAGAACTCTGCTTTGGCTGTTAGGGTACCAGATTGGAAGAAACAAGGTGTTCAGAAAGGGCCTCCATACATAAAGAGAGATCAAAGCAAGTTGTATTGTACTCATTGTAACAGGACTGGTCACATCAAGGAGGAGTGTTTTAAGCTGGTTGGATTACCAGATTGGTGGGAAGATTACAAGAAGAAATTACAGCAAGGAACTGGTACACAAGGATCTCATAGAGTGAATATGGTGACACATGGGGAAACTCCTTTGGATGACAGGTCTGATGGACACATGATCTGCAGGCTGTGATTTGTAAAGCAGTAAAACGTGAGGTGGATAAGATTCTGAAAGGGAAAGCATCAGCAGACACTACATGAGGACATTTGGTGAATATGGCCTACTATGATGACTTTGCAGTAGCTCCATAATCACTAAACTTAATTCTCTACCTTTTGAAGTTATAAGTGAAAATTCTTGGGTGTCAGATAGTGGTGCCACTAAACATATGTGCATTAATCTTAGACTTATGAAAAATATACAAACCTTGAATACCTTTACACCAGTTTGGCTTCCTGATGGAAGCATTAGTTCAACTAGTCATGTTGGGAATGTACTCCTTTCTGAGTCAGTAACCTTGACCAATTGCGTATATTTGCCAAATTTCAATTGCAATTTACTCTCTGTCAGACAGTTAGCCAAATTTAACTAATTATACTTTGTTTTCTTCTCTGATGTGTGCTTGCTACAGGACCTTAGATCACACAAGGATCTTGCAGCAGGTAGAGTGATTCAAGAACTATACATACTCAGTTCATACTCCTTTACAAATGAAGCCATACAGAAATCTCAAACTCAGTTTTTTGCCTTTATGATTCATATCAGATAGCCATCATCTTATTCAACACATACAGAAGATTCAAGTCAAGCCTTAGTAGCAGTCAATCAAGATGTTCTACACAATGGACTAGGACATCCTTCTGATCTAGTTATGACACGTATCTGGTTTTAAACCACAAACCTTTACTTCTCAAAATAGTGACATTTGTTCCTTTAGGAAAACAAACTAGACTAAGTTTTCCTTCCAGTACTATTCACAGTAAGAAGTGTTTTGAATTGTTACATTTGGATGTATGGGGACCATATAAACAAGCAACACTTTCTGGTTGTCATTACTTACTTACTGTTGTGGATGATTACAGTAGAAGTACTTGGATTTATCTGTTTAAAAATAAATCAGAGGTCTTTGCTTTGATACAACATTTCCTGAAAATGATTCAAACTCAATATCAAGCCCTTGTGAAAGTCATAAGCTCAGATAATGGGACTGAGTTCACTAATGCACAGTTTTCCCAACTTTTGTCATCCCTTGGTATCCTTCATCATAGAAGCTGTTCTTATACCCCTCAACAAAATGGGGTGGTAGAAAGGAAGCATAGACACCTAATCCAAGTTGCTAGAACCTTGCTTATACAGTCTAAACTACCTAAACATTTTTGGGGGGACGCTGTTTTGACAACAGCACACCTTATCAATAGACTTCCTAGCCAGTTACTAGATTGAAAATCTCCTTTTGAAATATTACATGGTCAAAAACCAGATATAATTAGCACACTTAGAGTTTTTGGGTGTTGAGCCTTTGCTGTTGATAATAGTTCAAATAGGGATAAATTTGATCCAAGATCCCTTAGAGGCATTTTCTTAGGGTATCCTCAAGGACAGAAAGGTTACAAACTCTACTGTCCATCCCTGAAAAAGACTTTGATATCCAGAGATGTACTATTTTATGAGACAATTCTTCCATCTGTTCAAATCAATGTAGATCAACCACCAACACCTCTTATCACCATTCCAGAACCTGATCACGCCATTTCATCAAATACTTCCTCTTTCACAGATAATTCTTCCTCAACAGATCCTCTACATACCTTCTCCTCTTCATCATATAACTTTGTTCCCACTCATTTGCATTCAGAAAGATCCCCTGAAATCACTCTTGAAGAGACAGAACCTCAACCTTTGAGAAGGAGCACTAGAACAGTTAAACCCCAGTCTGGTTAAATGACTTTGTCATTGCCAATCCTTCTAGATCAAACCACCAAAATGATACTAATGATAATGCACATAGTGTATTGTTGGCCAATCTGTCTACATTTTAAGAACCTACTACTTATAACAAGGCAAGAACACATCATCATTGGGTGGAAGCAATGAATTAGGAGCTTGAAGCCATAGAATCCAATGGAACATGGGAGTTAACAACACTACCTCCTGGTAAGAAAGCAATTGGCTCAAGTGGGTATACAAGATAAAGTGTAAACCAGATGGAACTATTGATAAATACAAGGCGAGATTGGTTGTGAAAGGCTATAATCAGGTAGAAGGAGAGGATTTCTATGAGGTTTTTTCACCAGTTGCTAAGGCTGTCACTGTGAGGCTTTTGTTTGCAATTGCTGCTGCTAGATGCTAGTCCTTGCACCAGATGGATGTAAACAATGCTTTTCTGCAT